AGCCATGGTTTACAAGAATTCAAGAGCTGACCCTGTGGTCTCTGCCCCCACGTGCACGTTGAAATCACCCAAGACCAAAAGCCTCGGGGATCCCAACAATGCCGCGGAGACAAAGTCGCCCAGCTCCGGTAGGGAAGTGGCTGGGTCGCGGGGAGCGCAGTAACCCAGCAAAATCCCAATACCATCCCTAGCCCCTATCGACACGTGGAGTGCCTCTAGACCTGGCTTTACCACCGAGGAGTTGGATTTGTAGACAATGGCTCTAAGTTGGATTTGTAGACAATGGCTACTCCCCCCCCCCGTTCTCCTTCCTAATGTTGTTTGCTCCTTGTCCTTGTATCTTCTCTGGCCTTTATTTATACCCTTATCTCCCCTTCATCCACAACCAGCAATCCTTTCTGCTGAGTCTGGAGGTACAAGGGCTTCATGCACAAAGATAAATTTTATAATAGGACTTTCTATTCTTCCTGCACATCCTGTAACTTTTGTTGTTGTTTAGATGTTTAGTCATGTCCGACTCTTCATGACCCCATGGACCAGAGCACGCCAGGCCCTCCTGTCTTCCACTGCCTCCCGGAGTTGAGTCAAATTCATGTTCTTAGCTTCGATTACACTGCCTAACTATCTCATATTCTGTTGTCCCCTTCTCCTCTTGCCCTCACACTTTCCCAACATCAGGGTCTTGTAACTGCAAGAGCTTTTAATTCAGAATCTAGCAAGCTGCCACTATGATGATAAGCACTGTAGTTCATCAGGCAAAATCCAAAGAAACAAAATAAGACAAAAGCATGTGGCACCTTAAAGAGTAACAATTATATTTTAATGTAAGCTGTCGTGGACACGTCCACTTTGTCAGACATACAGAAACAGAATGAAATTTTGAATTAAATATCAGTTTTACAAGTAGAACGTTCTAAATCATTGGCCCTTGTGTGTACAGTACATCTACATGCAGTAATTTATGGCCTAAGTTGTTTTAGGGTATTGTTGTAAACACTCATCTAGGAGACAGAAAAAGACACCAGACCTGAGCAAAGATGACGAGGGATAGAGGAGAGAGAGAAGAAGGGGTATGGGGAATGGTTGGAAGACTAGAGGTTCAGTTAAACCTCAAGAGGGAGAAAAGGAATATATAAGAGAAGATAGCAGAGGACTCACGTGTGTTAATGTAGGGAATATTGACAGTTTTTACATCTGAGCCTTGTGATGAGTGATAGGCTTGGTAGATATGAAGAAAATAACAGTGGCAATAAATAACAGCAGAAGTATTACATTTGGAAATGAGTTACGAAACCTAGGGTTATAGTCAATTCATTTATATGGGTATCCATCATGCATATAAATTTTATCTCAACTGTTTCCCTCTGTATAGTTGTGACTAAGATTTGCAAAGCTGGAGGAAGAAAGGCTTGTAAAATAAACAATCTGATACTACTCCAGGGTACTAAAACAACAGAGTATAGTTGCTACAAAGAATGAATGATATAGGACTTGCAAATGCCATCTCTGGCCATATTAACACATTGCAAGATAAACACATACAACTGTCAGCTATGGAAAAAAAATATTTTTGCAAGGCGAGGTTATCATACCATGAATTTACTTGCAGATTTGGCTGGAGAGCTGGTTGACTCATTGTTTTGCACTTATTCTTGATAAACTTCTGTTCAACCCTCATTTTAAAAGTATAACATACATTTTCAGGACTGCATTTTCTCCAGCACCCCCTTCATTATTTTTGTACAAAATATTACATTTTTACACCAAGGTATTTGAACTTCTGTTTGCTTCCTTTATGAACCAGGTTTTCAGGTAAGAATTAAGTCTGATGTCATTCTTCATGTGCCTGGACATTAAGCAAACTACTACTGTACTTTAGCACCTTAAAATCAGGGTTGGTGAGCATTTGCCCATCCAGATATACCAATAGTTTGCACCTTGCCTGGCCATTTGCCAGTTTGGCTAGAGCTGATGAAAGCAACATCTGGAAGTTAATCAAGTTCACTAGCCCTAGTGTAGAAGCTGAAATAAGTTTGTTCTGGTTACTTAAGTTTTTAATAGCAACTGAATTGGTTGGCCTTGATATTTTTAAAAGATATACATTGTGTACTTCATACTGTTATTGGATGCCTTGATTTGTTCTTAATGATTTTGAACATTTTGCTGACTCATGCTTTCTCAGAGGCTGTTCTGGTAGAAAGAAAGGACAGAACAATCTTAAATGAAATACTATTTTATCAAAACTTCAAATATAAAAAAGAAAAATATCCATAGTAATACTTAGAGCATTAAGATTATAATGAGGCCATACTTTCAGGATCTGAGGTTCTCGTGAACCTCAGATCTATTCTATGTGGCACATATAGGGATAAGGACTATTTTAAGAAACATGTGATAAAGAGGTAAAAAACCTGGCAAAAACATAGTAACTAATTAGGAAAAATTATCCTGAAACTTAAATATCTCAAAAGCAAACATGCATGACACTAAGAGCAAAGTTTTCATGAAAAACTGGAGGTCCCTTTGTTTGGAAACAGAGTGCCTGTCCTTACAACAAAGCTTGTTGTTAGAGGAGGTAGCTGTGCTAGTCTGTGCAAGCATTATCAGGCAAAATCCAAAGAAACAAAACAAAAAAGACAAAAGCATGTGGCGCCTTAAAGACTAAACTATTTTGCCTAAAACGCTTGTCTTCTGTGTAGTTCCTCTGCTACTGCTTAAGCATGGGTTAGTTGTTTAGTTTAGTTTAGTTTAGTTTTTGGAAGCACATGCAATTGAAATCAGGAGAATTGATGTCTAAATTAATCTAGTCAAGACTGATGAACTAGTGATAAAAACCCATTACGCAACTGAGATTTTAATCCAAGTGGCATGTGCTTTAGCAAGACTTTTGTGACTGGCTAATCAAAACATTGAGATGTTGAATTGCAGAAAAGAGGGAAGAGAATGGGGATTGGGCAAGAAAAGCAGGATGAAGAGTAAAACCTGAGAACCTAGGATGGGTGTATGTGGTAGGCTGATTTGGACAAAATGAAATTAGGAATAATTATCTCAAATTGCCACCTACCACTTTCTGTGGCATATGTTATCAAAACTTGGGGGAACAAACCTGTCCCAGGTCTGACTGTGTAGCATCCACTCCACTGTTCATCAGTGTCCCAATCTGTTTCAGTGATTTCTAACATGATGTTAGCAAAGTCTAGTACAGTTGAGCACAGGTCATCATAACAAACATGGGATGGTCTTGATAAGCGACTGGTATACATGGTAAAGGTAAAGGTTCCCCTTGACAATTTTTGTCCAGTCGTGTTCGACTCATCCCCGTTTCCAAGCCATAGAGCCAGCGTTTTGTCCAAAGACAATCTTCCGTGGTCACATGGCCAGTGCAACTTAGACATGGAATGCTGTTACCTTCCCACCGAGGTGGTCCCTATTTATCTACTTGCATTTGCATGCTTTTGAACTGCTAGGTTGGCGGGAGCTGGGACAAGCGACGGGAGCTCACTCCGTCGTGTGGATTCGATCTTACGACTGCTTGGTCTTCTGACCCTGCAGCACAGGCTTCTGCGGTTTAGCCCGCAGCGCCACCACATCCCATGTATACATGTATATGATGTATATCCTTAATCTAGTGTTTCCAGCTGAGTGTGAAACTGGGAGTCTGCAATGGAGGTGCCTTCTCAGTGGCATTTATAGTCATAGTGACTATTCCTCACTGCAGTGGTGGTGGGCCTACTAAAATGTTCCACTCCAGCAGCTGTACAGCACTGAAAGGATTCTTGACATCATTCCAGATGTCAAATGGTATACATGGTAAAGCAGAGCTTTTCTGGGTAGTTAGCAAGTTTTCAAAATCAGATGTAGGTGGGGATGTGGTAAAACCTTGGACGTGTATTACAATAAATTTGCATGGAATTTTAAATATAACATTTTTCACCTTTCTACACCGCACTCGATGCCATCATAGCGACAGTCCTAATGAAGGTATCCTGAGCCGTGCCTCGTTTCCTTTTGTGAGGCTGGTTTCTTCCAGGATTGAAACCTTAATGATCTAGACATCATGCATGGTAAACTGTGGTAATCACCTATATTATGAAAGCCTTCGCGGATACAAATCACCTATATTCTTGAGCCTTATCCATCCTGGCAATATGGATGGATAAGGCTCAAGCTGGGTAAGGCTAGTTAATGCCTCCTTACAAACAGGTGCCAATAGCCTCAAAAGAGGAGGCCATACATTGATTCTTTAAGAAACCCATTTAAATCTGGAAGACTTTAACAACCATTGAGTTGCGAGTATCTGCCTTTGAGGTAAGATTTATAAAAAAAGGAGATGTGTTGGTTTGTTTAAGATGTTAGAAAGGGTTGAGCAGTTTCTAAATGGTTTTGAAGGAACTATTATACTGACCCACTGTAGCCTGGCTTCAGACCTGGGTTTGGTGCTGAAATGTGTTTGCTCACTCTGATAGAATGATTTTATTGCAGGAGAGATGGGGGAACATGACTGCTGATAATCCTTGATCTCTCAGTGACATTTGCTTCTTGTTGATCATACAGTGGACCCTCGACTTACAGACGGCTCGACTTACAGACTTTTCGAGTTACAGACTTTTCTGGCCGCAAAATTTAGATTCGACTTGCAGCCGGAGAATCGACTTACAGACCAGAAAAAAAACAAAATGGAACAAAAATAGAATAAAAACTGCCAGTTATGGGATTAATCGGTTTTCAATGCATTGTAGGTTAATGGAGATTCAACCTACAGACTTTTCGACTTGCAGCCACCATTCCAATACGGATTAATTCTGTAAGTAGAGGGTCCACTGTAGTATCTTGCTAGACCAACTATAGAATATGGGTTTGTGGAGCACTCATGAAATTCTCTTCCCAATCTTTCTAAACACAAATGGGATACGGTTGATTTTGGCTATCAATATGGAGTTAAAGTTTGACATAACAGTATTGACAGATAGCGCTAACTGATGTTTTTAATTGCTCAACAGCTAGTTGGAAAAGATCTTTCTCCAACATGAATGCCTTCCTGGAGACACTCAGATTCATTGTGCTGACTGTATATTTTTTACTGGAGTCCATCTTTTTGTTATTTATTCCTGTGCGGAAGAAGAATGTTGCTGGTGAGATAGTGCTTATAACTGGAGCTGGAAGTGGTATTGGAAGACTTATGGCTTTAAAATTCGCTCGTCTTGGAGCCACTTTAGTTCTTTGGGATATCAATTTAGAAGGAAATAAAGAGACTGCCAGACTGGCAAGAAAAGCTGGAGCTGTGAGAGTACATGAATACATTTGTGACTGCAGCAAAAGGCAAGAGACCTATCGAGCAGCAGATCAGGTAACTATTTTTCTATTGTGTATAACACGACCTAGTTATGTTGGGTTCTCCTTTTGTGCCATGTTAATAACTTAGAAATTGAAACAGTAGGTGTGGTTTCATGGATGAGGATGAAACCCTCAAGAGAGGGTAGAAAGGAAGAACTTTCCATTTCTTAGATGAGACTTGCCTCCAGATCCCACGTTTCCCTAGAAAATAAAATATATATTTCAAAAATATTCCTTTCTTGTTTTTAATAAAGTCTAGCTCTGGCAGAAGCAGAAATGTTAGGCAAAATATGAGTCACTATTCTGTCTGTTTTGTGAACTGTTGGCCTCCTGACAGACTTCCAGTGTTTTTACCCTTGTAAAGTGTAGCAGTAGCACACATAGTATGTTGGTTAATTTTACAACCATGACAAACCATTGCACAAGTGGTTGTGATATTAGTGGAACTGTGGAATCCCATACATAGGGGAAAGTTCTTCATGCTCTGTTGCATAAGTGGTTTCATAGCCTCAGAGAATGTGGAACTGATATCCTCATTTCGCAAGTTGAGCCTAGCGCCAATGAAGACCTAAGGCAAAGGGGGTGCAAGTGAACAGGGAAACAACAAGCAACAGGGCAGGCAAGTCCAAGAGATGGGAAGTAAGTGGGGTGTGCATGCTCTGGCATACAGACCACAGAGAAAGCACTGGTGGTGGTGTTCACCCTTCATGGAAGGCTGCCAACCACTGGCTGTCCACACTGAAAATGTTTGCTCCCTTCTCTGAGCAATGAACATTCCCAGGATCCCAAAGAATTAATCTGATCCACCTTGCCCAAAGAAATAATCAGCTATGCTGTTGCAAAGGGCAACTGCCTCAGGGCCCGATCCAGTATAGCCTCTCTGCCAACAGACATCAAATATAGGGAGGACCACCACAGGTGTGACATCATGTTGTTCTGTAACGTCAGGGAAGCAATCAAGGGTGACTGTATACTGCACAGTCACCATCTTAATAGCTGTCCACCTAGGGATATGAGACTTGCCACCCGTGCACTGCCACATCTGGAAATGAAGCTTTATTTGAGTGAATTTACATTCATCCAGGCCCTATATTCTGTGATGTGCCTTATTGATGCTGCATGCGTCAATGTCTGTATGCATCTGTAGAGATGAGATAGGGAAATAGTGAATATTCATCATCACATGAAAAATGGAAGGGAAATATTGTTGGAAAATGTGATGCACAGAGCACACATGTGGAAGAAATACTGTTCAGTGGGATGCCTGCTCAAATAACTTCTCACCTTTGACATCTTGACTATGTGGGCATCATGGGTGCCAGCTATGAACAGTGCACATACATTGATGGAAAGACATCTCGTGTTGCACATATACTGAGTGTTGAGGCTGTGGACTTGTTGCGTTCCACAGCCTTGGAATGCCAACATGGGATTATGAGCACATGTGTACTGTCCACCTGGCACATCATGTTGGGTATATGTATTAGCAAGTAGAACAAGTCTTTTGCAATAGGAGGCTTAGCTTTCCCATCTGGGTAAAGGTAAAACCAACTCACATGGCAGAGCATAGCATGCAGCAACTGTGGAAGGCATGCACTGACAACTGTTTGGATGCAATAGATTCCTAGAATCTACCACCTAGGAAGGAGCCCATGGCCAGGACTGTTAGGGCAACAAGGATGTGCTGAAGTAGGTCATCTTATACTTGGTTGTACTGGGTTTTGATGAGACCTCAGGACGGTCAGGAAATTGTTCAGTGCTTGCCAAATTTGTGCCGGCTGTAAGCATTCTTCCTTTGACAGATACCTGATGTGCGTGTGTCACCTGATTGTTCTGGTCATGCACCATAGGTGACCATTAGGGCAGACAGAAACATTTACAAAAATTGCAACCAGCCCCGGAATGATGCTGTCTTGGGCCACACTGTATGGCCAGCTGGAAGAGAGACCTCGCTGGTCCAAGGAGCACTACCCTAAGAGTACTATAATGGCAGCTGTTGGTAGCAACCAGGTAGAAAAGGACAGGCAGCTGTGCTGGCTATCAGCAGTAGAAAACAGTTGTGCCACCAAATGGCATGATATTCTGACATGTCACAAGGTCTGGTTCTTTGGTTATGCAATCCCTACACGAGCGCAAGCTGGCATCGTAGCTCTTTTCAGGAAAGACCCCAGCTCAGAAGAATGGGCCATCTGACACTTACCAGCATCCATTGTCCACAGGTACAGCAACCACTACACAGACATTAGTGCTCCCTTGCATGATAACCTGGCTGGAGCACCATAGGCATTCCCAATACCATCCTTTTAAGCCCTGCCCCTACCCCTATACAGTAACACTGCTGTTGCCACCCACTACCCCCTAATATGTACTTCAGGAGACTATTTAGTACAGCCAGCCAGTCAGCAGCTTCCTGCAATGTCCCCTTTATCTCTTCTGACAGTTCTCCACAAGTAAAGTGAGATGGCCTCTGGTGAGGCCAGCAAAGAATGGCCAATTCATCCATCCTTGGCTTGAGGAGGTTGTGAAAGCCCAGTAATGGTACAGTTTTGAAATAGTTTCAAATTTCCACGATGGTTTCATATCTTCACGTACGTTAACTAATTTCAAATTGTTTTATTGTATTCTGTTCTAAGATACCATGATACAGAATGGGGCAAAGATAATGCGGTTGATATTGCATCACTAAGTTATCTCCACCTAGCAATTTGATATGAGCAAAGAAGTCCTGCATATTTGCAAATAATTACTTGTTTGCTTAAGTAGGGATTAATTGTGTAGTGACAAGAACTGAAGGATCTGTATGCAAATAATAATTGAACTAGATGAAAAGTCTCAATAGCTTTTGCTTAAACCAGTATTGCTGGTTTTGTCTTTACACGTCCACCTACACACACAGGATTCCTCATTCAACCTATTCACACACATACATACACTCCACAGTTACATGGGACATCTTGTTTTTCATTTTCCTCTGCATTTCTCCCCAGAGTCCTTCTGCCTCTCTTCTGCTCTCCCTTCATGAGTCGCTTTCTAAACCCTATCTTCTTTCACCATGGGGAGTGAAAAAGAAAAGCCTCCAAAACTGGAGAAGACAGCTGAATGTTTCAGATCCTAAAGGAAAAATTTCAGGAAGCAAGTGGTAGTTAGAGGAAAGTTTATCTCATGATCCCTGAGCCTAGACTCCTTCCTATAACTACTCTGCTGTGCTACCTTCCACTTTCTCTGAGTGGAGCACCTCAGAACAAGCACGTAGGGGAGAGTCTACGAATCCTAGCTGGGATCCTACACCAACATGCCTTCAAATGCTCAGCAATGTGTGATCTAGGAATTGCTTCTACCTGCTCCTACTGACTTCAGTATTACCAATTCAGTACCTTAACCAAGGCAAGATTTAGAAAATTAGTACTACATTTCACCTCTCAGTCACTGTTCAGACACTGGCATGAAAGGATATGTAAAATTTATTTTAAAAGAAATAAGAAGAGGTTGGACTGGATGAATCTCAAGCCGGAATTAAGATTGCCGGAAGAAATATCAAGAACCTTAGATATGCAGATGATGCCACTCTGATGGCAGAAAGTGAAGAGGATTTAAAGAACCTCTTAATGAGGGTGAAAGAGGAGTGCCAAAAATGGTCTGAAGCACAACATCAAAAAAACTAAGATCATCACCACTGGCCCCATCACCTCCTGGGAAATAGAAGGGGAAGATAGGGAGGCAGTGACAGATTTTACTTTCTTGATCACTGCAGATGGTGACAGCAGCCATGAAATCAAAAGCTGCTTGCTTCTTGGGAGGAAAGTGATGACAAACCTAGACAGCATCGTAAAAAGCAGAGACATCACCTTGCTGACCAAAGTCCACATAGTCAAAGCTATGGTTTTTCCAGTAGTGATGTATGGAAATGAGAGCTGGACCATAAAGAAGGCTGACTGCCGAAGAACTGATGCTTTTGAATTGTGGTGCTGGGGGAGACTCTTGAGAGTCCCCTGGACTGCAAGGAGAACAAACTTATCAATTCTGAAGGAAATCAACCCTGCATGCTCACTGGAAGGACAGATCCTGAAGCTGAGGCTCCAATACTTTGGCCATCTCATGAAAAGAGAAGTCTCCCTGGAAAAGATCCTGATGTTAGGAAAGTGTGAAGGAAAGAGGAGAAGGGGATGACAGAGGATGAGATGGTTGGACAGGGTCATCGAAGCTACCAACATGAATTTGACCAAGCTCCAGAAGGCAGTGGAAGACTGGAGGGCCTGGCGTGCTTTGATCAGTGGGGTCACGAAGAGTCAGACTCAACGACTAAACAACAAAAGAAGAGAAACGGACAATTCAAAAGTTAGGAAGAGCTCCCAATCCCAAAGAACTGTGGGTACAGGATTACAACATACAAAACAGAAACAAGAAAATAATAAACACTAATTTATCTCATACCTAAGTAGCGTAATGGACCAAAACTGAGAAGAAACTCTTTGTGTCACCCAGGAACAAGTTCTTCAACAGTGCACAGAGTACTACTCATGAGTAACACAGTCACAATTAATGAAGCACAGCTTCCCCCAGCCATACTAAGCTTCAGAAGACTCAAATTCTGAATTCTCCCTTACTCTAGAGAATGCCACATTGGCACCTAAGCTGACCATTACATAATTACTCTTTACCTTTTTTGATCATTCTTACATGCTTCCTTTGCAGCTTTGAAATCTGCATGCCCTCTGATGGGACAGCATGACAGCTTTCATATTCAGATACAATCATTTGGTCACTTTGATGTACAAAAGAGATTAACTAAAGAAAAAAGTTTGAGCATTAGGCTTCTCTTTGAAGTCGTCTTGATCTCAAGGCTCCTTTGAAGTAATATAGGGCAGGGATGCAGGAACAGGAGACTGGAAAAGAGGTAAGAACCAGCTATCTTCCAAGGTAACGTTTATATTCTCATGCCCCTATAGGCAGTCAGAAGAGTCCATAAATTGTATTTCATTGTCTTAATCTTTTCCTAGTCCTAGTCCAGTCTGAGCTCCACATGCTTAATTTCAAATAAAAGAAATTTAACTCATCTCTCTGCGTTCAATGGCATTATTCTGAGTTCAGTGGCATTCAGCAGGGATATCTCCCTCCACCTGCAACCCTTGATTCCATGCAGAAACAGATAGTTGTTATGACTATCTCCTGTATGGTAGTTAAACCTCTATCCTGGATCAACCAGTTTCCTAATCCCCCCCCCATTAAACTGGGGTGTGGGAGCCCTTGAAAAGAGTAAAATTATTCTTTTTATCTCCAGTGGGTGGTGACTGGTGAAACGTATTTATTTTTTAGTTGAAATAAACCCAACCAAACTCCACAGATGTCTACCCCACAGCTGCTACCCCTACTTGAAATTCTTGGAGAAAAACTAGAGAAATTAAAACAACAAAAGCTTGACTTCAGAAAGTGATTTTTCAAAAGACTCATAGGAACAAAAGCGGCTGTAGGAATCTGGATGAGTTGCAAAATAAGGAACACTGGGCAAAACAGTCAGAGGACAATTGACTCTAGGCCTGTCTTGTTCTTGCTTCCATTTCATCCATTTCTAGGGCTCTTGGAGTCAGATTTTAACCTTCAGAGAAGGAATGAGGAATTGCCTTATTCAGAATGATATATCCCTGCCTGCCAGGCCATCCTGGGATGTTCTGCACATATGCAAGAAATACACATGCCAAGTTCTTGTTTGTTCTTTGAACGTAGAGTTGGAGCCCAGACAAGTGTGCCTCCCTGTGAGATACAGTTCGCAGTATTCAGGGTTTTGCTTAGTCTTTGCTGCAAAAAGTAAGGGGATGGCATCTCCTCCCTCCAGTGACCTGGGATAACTACACCTGTAGTCAAGATAGTAGATCCCACATCCACATTATGCAAAATAATTTATCTGAAATATAGTAAGATAGTTTTGTACCATCTGTTCAAAAGGAGTCTCCCCGAAGAATGTGAGGGATATGGAGGCATTTGGGTCTCCCCTGGGCAGTAACAATACCCTATTAGCTGATCCTTGCACTCCAGAAGCACCACTGGATTCCTTCCAACATGAACAAATAAAATAAGGAAACCACAAGAAAACAGATATATGAGAACCTCTTGCTGCTTTTTTAAGTGCCTTTAAAAGAGCATTGCATATAAAGCTTTTCTTGCTGGGGAAGGAAAGCCCTAATGTGAGAAAACTGAAGCTTTTTAAAGAAAGCTGATACAGCAAGAATAAATGTTAATAGTAAGAATCCTACTAGTAAGTTGTTTTATAACTTGTGACAGAATTTTTTGTTCTAAATTGTTGTTGTTTAGTCGTTAAGTCATGTCTGACTCTTTGTGACCCCATGGACCAGAGGACGCCAGCCCCTCCTGTCTTCCACTGCCTCCCGGAGTTTGGTCAAATTCATGCTGGTAGCTTCGATGACCCTATCCAACCATCTCATCCTCTATCATCCCCTTCTCCTCTTACCTTCACACTTTCCCAACATCAGGGTCTTTTCCAGGGAGTTTTCCTCTCATGAGATGGCCAAAGTATTGGAGCCTCAGCTTCAGGATCTGTCCTTCCAGTGAGCACTTAGGGTTGATTTCCTTCAGAATGGATAGGTTTGCTCTCCTTGCAGTCCAGGGGACTCTCAAGAGTCTCCTCCAGCACCACAGTCCAAAAGCATCAATTCTTCGGCAGTCAGTTTTCTTTATGGTCCAGCTCTCATTTCCATAAATTGCTACTGGAAAAACCATAGCTTTGGCTATGTGGACTTCTATCGGCAAGGTGATGTCTCTGCTTTTTAAGATGCTGTCTAGGTTTGTCATCGCTTTCCTCCCAAGAAGCAGCGTCTTTTCATTTCGGGGCTGCTTTCACCATCTGCAGTGATCATGGAGACCAAGAAAGTAAAACCTGTCACTACTTCCATATCTTACCCTTCTATTTGCCAGGAGGTGATGGAACCAGTGGCCATGATCTTAGGTTTTTTTATGTTGAGCTACAGACCGTTTTTTGCACTCCCCTCTTTCACCTTCATTACAAGTTTCCTTAATTCCTTACTTTCTGCTATCAGAGTGGTATCATCTGCATATCTGAGGTTGTTGATATTTCTTTCGGCTGAGCGTCCTTTCGGCTTTGGCCCAACCACTTCATTAGCTCTGGAGCTACTTGTACTTTCTCTGAATTACTCAAGCCCTTTCGCCATGACAAGGCAGCAATCCGTGAAGTGTTTTTTCTAAATGTGTACATTTATTAAACAAAATATCATGATTCAGAAAATATTCCAATAGCTTATGTTTGTTTTAGGTGAAAAAGGAAGTTGGTGATGTCAGTATCTTGATTAACAATGCTGGCATTGTAACGGGAAAGAAATTCTTGGATGCTCCCGATTTGCTGATAGAAAAAACAATGGAAGTGAACACAATGGCACATTTTTGGGTAAGGAATTTTATGATTGCCTTTTGAAATATGTGGAGGTAGATTTGAATTTGGATTGGTTCTTGATTGCTAAAGAACACTCTTTACAGCACTTACCACATCATAGGACTCATACGTTTATCTTCCAGTATTTCACAGAATTCAGGCTGAGAGGCTGACTAGACTGGCTGTTTAGCCTACTGTTTGGGCTACTAAAGGGATGGGCTGGTCTGCTCTTAAAAACCATGCCTTTGCTAAATTGCACCAGCACATCCACAGGGTATTCCTACCCACACCATTCTGGCCCCTCCACTTGTCTGATGCTGGTAGGTTGGTTTTGGTTTGGATCAGCTCCAGCCTGTGTGATGTCCAGAATACTGTACATCCAAGATAAACCTTTCTCTTCCAATTACCAATTTTGTAAGATGGCTTAATAAGCAAGCCATTTCAAGATAGTGGCAAAATAATTTCTTCCCCTGCTAGTCAGAGGGCAAGGGAAATGAAAAAATATTTTGACTGTATGTCAACTATCACTGATGTGCTGCATCAGTTACACAAAAATTAAAAAATCTTTTCTTTGCCTCATCTTAAAGGGCCAGCCAAGAAACCACCTGCAGTGGCTTCAGATGCAAGCAGCATGTAGAAATTGTCACATGCTTCAACAATATTATATAATCAGATACAGGTTTTTCCAAACCATTAGAAGCTCACAAACATTTATTTTAAAAAAATCCTTATAGTGTCTATCAAAGAATGTGTATGAAATTATTGCATGGAAAATTACTAATTTAGTTCAGAGTAACAAACACTGAAAGAAGAATTGTTTAGAGACAGACATTAAACACAGTATTTCAGAATATCTGGAAGTTGAGTCATGGCAATTGGACTTCTTATCAGGTTGAAATCTTTTGCTACTCAACCAAGTAGCTTCTTCAGACTGAGGAGAGTTGGTAGGAGACCCCTGATAATATCCTCCACGTTGGTTTCACTTCCCCCTGGAAACCAATGTGGAGGATATATCTGGGATCTCCTATCAACTGTCTTCAGACTGATGACTTGAATGAGTAGCAAAATATTTCAACCTAACAAGAAAGAAGTTCAGTTGCCATGACTCAACTCTCAGATAACCTCACCTGGATGAGTGAGGATCTTCACAGAAATATTACTTTTTACTTTTTTACTCCAGAATACTGAAAAAATCCTGCAATGTTAAACAGAACCATAGATATTGGACATGTTGTTGCACAAATACTAGAGAACCACTCATCAGAATTTGAGGATATGAGTTATATCAACATAAGCCGCCTAGAGTGGACGAGTCACCCAGATAGGCGGGGTATAAATCAAATAAATAAATAAAATAATTTTAATACACGAACAAATGCCATCACATAGGAAAAGCAGTGACCCTGGCAGATCTAGATAGTTATAGATAAGGAGGGGAAAGATTTTATCCTGGCAATCTTTAGCCTTTGTTGCCCACTACGTGCAAGCATAGACAAAGAAATAATTGTGCAAGAATTCTCAAATATTTGAAGCTAGTAATCTGGTATCCTTCAAACAGTTTGAATTATTGCTCCCTGCTGCTAGTGTAGCTGCACCCTAAATTAAATGCTAAGTTAATTAGCTCAGATTAAGAGATGGGCAGGGCAGAATTTCCTGCAGAAAATGACTCAGACATGAAGTCTTAATGAAATCTCATTAACATCGATTCTTAATGGAAAATTTGCAAACAGCAACACCAGCTTGGGATTCAGAAGAAACTAGAACTCCGTCAAGCTCACTTCTGCCCTAGTGTGAATCAGTAGACAATATTTTTGAAAACATTTAAATTAGTTTTTTTTTTAATGAAACGGGAAAATAATAAACATGGTTTCTGGAGTGGAAAGTGCTTCTCATCAAATTCTTAGGGAATTCTTTAGCATACAGATATGTATTAATCAATAGACATTAAATACTTTAAACCAATGGTTCCCATCCTTGGGTCTCCGGATGTTCTTAGACTACAACTCCCAGAAATTCTGGGCAGTGGTAAAGGCTTCTAAGAGTTTAGTCCAGGAACATCTGGGCGCCAAGGTTTGGGAACCACTGCCTTCATCAGACCAATGCTATCTTGCTTGTGTATGTTTATTTAGAAAGAAACAATGTGAAAAAAATGCCTTCTGGTGTCTGTGACTGCTTCTAGATTACATTGGTGCAGATAAACATCATTTGCTGGTTTTGTTCTCTTCGTCTTTTAAGTTTCATTTCTCAAAATATCATTCCAGGATGCCCAAGAAATAGGTTTCACATTCACTTCTTTCTGTAACAATTTGAAACTTAGCCTTTTGTTTTCTAATACAAAGACTAAATGGGACTCCAAATATTAGGAATTATTATTACAGATATTTGGAACTATCCGATTTGGATATGTTCAGATCAATCAGATATCAGATTCTAAACATTTATGAATCCAAATAAACATCCCTAATGGAATACAGTATTTCATTAATCGGTTAAAATTTTAAGGTCATGTATGCCGTATTGATTGTCTTTATTCCTAGTTTCTGTGGAGCTGAGAATTGTTTTGGGTCTGTGATAGATAACAAAAACTTGGAAAAGACAATTTGTGGGTTTGTACCTAATACTTACAACAAAGCATAGCTCTTTGAGTGCTGTTGGTTCCTGCCATGTTTGGCCATTGCCACACAGCCTGAACTGATGAAGTCCAACATCCCTCGTACCAAGTCCTGAAAACAGTCCATTATGATTATTGTGAAAGCCAATCTGGTGTAATAAACAGAGGATTAGATGAGGACTTGGGAAATCTGAGTTCAAATCCCTGGACCGTCACTGGAGGATGGTAATTGTAAACCAGTTTGAACATCTCAGGTACACCTGAAAGCCTATTAAGTCACTGTAAGTCAGAAGTAATTTGACTGCACATAAAGAACTATGAGAGCTCACTCAGCAGGTTGGAGGTGGAGGAGAGAGACACAAGGTGTATGGTTTCGAGACACATAGTTCAACAAGCTGTTCTTCATGAGATGGTCTAAAAAGTATATTGTACTGCACTGCAACAGGAGAAAATGATGGTGGTTTTCCCTGGTATTTTTTTAAAAATCTCCATATTAAGTCTGTCTCTCTGCTACTCCTTAAGTCAGGGCATTAAGGTCAAGAGTATTAATTTTAAAAAAACTTCAAAAGAAATTCATTCTTAAAATCAACAACAAAGATTTCCATCGACATTCTTAAATTCAAAGAGAAAATACTTGGTAAGAGGCTGCAGAAAAAAGAATCATGCCTGTGATTTTGGTGTTGGTGCCCCCTGGTGGGCTATCAAGGAAGAAACAGAAGTAGAGAGGCAGTTATTTCCCATACTAGACTAAAAGCACTTTTCACCAGGTCAGAGCCAACCAAAAGCGTACTGTTGAACTAGTTGTCATCTAAGGGGAGAAGAGGAATTCAGTTAGCTCAAAAAAAAAATCTGTGTGAAGAGTAGCTATACACAGCTTTTCATCTTGCATATTTTTGCCAGATGGGTCTGATGAGAGAGCATGTTGCTAAATATTTACAGTACTTTGGATCCAACATCTCCGAGTTCTGATAACAGTACTCAGTTGTAAAAAGATAAAAACTGAGGAAAGCTCCCATAATTAAAAAGAAACTGTAAAAGTATTAGATACTAGCCAATAGTTAAGTGAGTAAATTGTAAGGAAGACAAAAATTAGAAATGTATGCAAATCTGTATTACTAAAACCTAGGCAGTGAAATCCTGTTGCTGCATAAGGTTGCTGACATGATCAGCTACAATTTTTTGGAGAAAATTTCAATTCCTTCCTCACCCAACCTCCTTGGGATTCCATTTATGAAGGAGAAGCTCCTGTTGGTAGGTTGCTGACATGATCAGCTACAATTTTTTGGAGAAAATTTCAATTCCTTCCTCACCCAACCTCCTTGGGATTCCATTTATGAAGGAGAAGCCATTGGGAACTATGGGGGGGGGGGAAGGAGGGAATATTTAAGTTTCAAAACTCGCCACCCCCAGGATGATTTTACCAGCTGCAATTTTCAGAAATTAAAACTAATCTTTTGTGGCTTATGTGGAGCTTCACCATTCCTACCCATTTCCTTCTCCTTCACTAACTCAGGATGGCCGTGAGTGATTCTTCATTCTCTACCTGTGTCAGCTGTGAGGATTTTGATTTTTAACAATCATATGTCTATTGGCTATAATACAACTACTGTAGTTGTGTGGTTTTTTTCTCCACATTGGGCCAAAGCATTTCTTCCAGCCATGATGGCCTCTAATCATGGACACGTGGTGACTATTGCAAGTTCAGCTGGGTTATTTGGTGTCAGTGGATTGGCAGGTTAGTACACAGCAGATGTGCTGAAGAAAAATCTGAAGATACCACTCAAGCCCTTGGGTTTTTTAGCACTGGTCTGTAGACCATGGTTTGGAAAGAATATGCAAGAGATTACTCTTATGGAAAAGCAAAGGACAATGTCCCATCCCTGCACCTTGGAGGGCTGCTCCTGCAACCCCCCACCTCAATTTGTACCTTCTAGTGTCTGGAAAAGGTTTTATTTCTTTACAGTATTTTTAATGGAGTTTTGGGGCCCATGAGCTGGTGAAAATCCTTTAAAAAATGAGAAAAGAGTCCACAGTATGTCTGAGAGAACACAAGGATTTTCAGCCAACTTTTTTTCACTGTTTACACAACTTTGGGGGGAGGGGATTTGAGGCCTGCAGAGTGGATTAACTGACTCTTTGAGTTAATCCCAAAGACTCATTTCATTCAATACTCATTAGGTGCCAAATCTTGGCTCTTACATCAAGTATCATAACACATCATTCATTCATTTGGCTTTTACCCCGCCTATCTAGATTCAAACAAATCTACTTTGGGTGGCTTACAGTCCAAGCAGTATAAACCAAGAATTAAAACAGACAACATCCAAACAAAAAAGAGAAGTAAGTAAAGACCAAGATGGGAAAACACAGGGAACTAAGTGATAGAAGGGCGGAAAGGCCTGCCTCAAGAACCAAGTCTTCAGCTTGTTCTTAAAAACTACCAGTGAGGGTGCCAGATGAATTTTGAGGGGCAAGATGTTCCAGAGGCAAGGGGCCACCACTGAGAAGGCCCAGTTTCTAGTTCTCTCCTTTCAGGCCTTTCTCAAGGTCAAGCCCCTCAACCGCCCAGCCTGGCTAGGTCAAGTGACACGAGTAGAGCTAGGTGGGAGCAGGTGCTCTGCCAGCTATCAAGGTCCTAAACCATTTAGGGCTTTATATGTAACCATTAATACCTTGAAGCCAATGCGGAAATGAATGGGCAACCACTGTAAGGCCACCAGAGTGGGTGAAATGTGATGATATTTTTCCAACCTAGTTAATAGTTTGGTGGCCATGTTCTGGACTATTTGTAGTTTCCTCATCAATCTCAAGGGCAGCCTCATGTAGAGTGCATGGACCAGAGTGGTGAGCACCCCAACATCAGGATAGGAGCGCAGCTGAAGATGTAGATGGGCGGTACGGATCACAGACGTTACCTGGGACTCCATGGTATGCGCTGGGTCAAGATGGACCCCCAGGCTGCAGACCTCTTTGTGGTGAGAGTCACTCCCCCCAAAAAAGAGGGAGCTTCCCAAACCACTGATAGAGTGGTTTTGTCCGGCTTCAGCCTCAGTCCATTATGCAGTACAGCCCGCTCCCCCCAAAAGAGAGGGAGCTTCCCAAACCAGAGTGGTTTTGTCCAGGTTCAGCCTCAGTCCATTATGCAGTACAGCCCCCAGGCAGCGCTCAAGGGATGCAACAGCACCCACTGCTGTTGGAAAAAAGATGTAGAACTGCGTGTCATCAGCATGTCATCAAGAAGTCTCATAACACTTTTTAAAAAAGAAAGTAACAGGCTGGGGAGGCATCTTTGGTCTGGACATGATAAGCAGTAGAGGTGAGCACGAACCTCAGCTCAGAGGTTCGTGCCAGTTCGTACATACAACACCCCAGCTGCTGCACATTCCCTTCGTCATCAAGAAGTCTCGTAACACTTTTTTAAAAAGAAAGTAACAGGCTGGGGGAGGCATCTTTGGTCTGGACATGATCAGCAGTAGAGGTGGGCACGAACCTAAGCTCAAAGGTCCATGCCAATCCATACATACAACACCCCGGCTGCTGCCCATTCCTTTCCCCCACCTCCCCAGCCAATGATCCTGTCTCTTTGTCTAACCAGCCAGGAAAGCAGGGCAGGGAAGGCTCTGCTCCTGCTGGAGACTGGTCAAACAGCTTTTGGTCTGGACATGATCAGCAGTAGAGGTGGGCACGAACCTAAGCTCAAAGGTCCATGCCAATCCATACATACAACACCCCGGCTGCTGCCCATTCCTTTCCCCCACCTCCCCAGCCAATGATCCTGTCTCTTTGTCTAACCAGCCAGGAAAGCAGGGCAGGGAAGGCTCTGCTCCTGCTGGAGACTGGTCAAACAGCTGATGAGTGGGCCCAACCAGTCCTCAGGAAGAGAACAGGTTTGCCTGTCCTGTCTCTTTGTCTGACCAGCTAAGGAAGCCAGGCAGGGAAGCCTGTGCTCCTGCTGGAGACTGGTCAAACAGCTGATGAGTGGGGGATCCATCCAAGGAGGCAGGGGAAGGGAACGTGTGGCACCTGTGGCGCCAATGTGTACAAACAGGCATGACCCTCCAAACCAAGGTTCGTGCCAATTTCTAAAGAGCAAATAAACTGAAGCTCGCAATCCCTGAAACAAGAACAGGCATGACGCTCCAAACCAAGGTTCATGCCCATTTCTAAAGAGCAGATAAACTGAAGCTCGCAATCCCTGAAACAAGGTTGAGAAATATTCTCCTGCATCTGTGTATGAAAATATGAGTTACATGTATTTTCTGTAAGAGGAAGATATATACAGTAGTTTAAAAGATAATTGCTGTGTTCTCCCCTCAATGTGAAAGTTTCTTATGGGTTGTTTGTATGCTGAAGCAGAAGACCAGGGGTGGCATGGGGACAAAGGGCTGGATATGTGAAAAATCTCATCTCACTTCTCAGATTTTAGGACATTCCAAGGGCAGCCTGCCATAATGCAAAGAGTTTAATCAGCTGAATCATCTGTCATTTCTATGAAAAGTTTGGATTTTTAGCCCCGATAAGCAGAGAGAGGAAGTAGTATCTTCAGAACATGTTGATAACTGGCTATCTAGAGTTGCTAGAAAGAAGGAAGCCCTGGCTTGGTTTTTATAGAGATAAAAACAGAAAGGTGACTCAGAGTGAAAGTAGCAAAATGGAAAAAAGCTGGATTACTAGTGGAAATTAAGAAAATAACGGAGAAGAATGCATTAGAACTTGAAACAGAACTTTTGAAAAAGCTTAAAAGATAAATGGAGAAAACAAAACAGAAGTGGATACAACTATGCACAAGGCAGTGACAGAAATTAAAGTCAAGAGATATAAAGCAATATCAGTAGATAAACATGAAATGAAAACACTGATTGACAGAATGGTCAAGGCCAACACCAAAAGGCAATACAGTATTGGCATAAAAACTAAGCTCATAAAGACTGATTGACTTAGTGGATGGAGGGTAGAGAAAATGTGAAATTACATGGATTTTCAGAAGGTGCATTTCCAACTTCTGTCCCAATGCTCTGGGAGGAAGCTATGGAAGGAGTGGGACAGGAAAAAATAAGTCTTTAATTACAGAAAATCACTGCCATTGGTAAAGTGATCCTGGCAGCAGTGATTTTTTTTTTTTGTAATTAAGGACTTCCCTATCCTGCAGGTCTCATTGCTTCCCTACGAAGGAAGGATTACACAGGAGCCTTGAAATAGAAATCAGATATGTTTAATTTCTGAAAAATTATCGCTGCTGCTGCTGTCATCAGTCTTATGTAGCTTAAGTTACGCCAACTGAATCCCACCCTCATTGCTAGTATTTTTAATGCTTTCCACAGAAACAGGTTTTGTGAAGCTGAAGAAAAGAACAAAATGCAATTTTGCTACCAGGATTTTGCACAGCTGCCCTGTTATTTGGGGCTACTAGAACGATGAATCAGTGTTTCATACTTACCATTAACAAATATGTGTGGAAACTGGGGAGTAAGCATTTGCAGTAACTATAGACCTCCTAGGTCCCACAGCATGGGAAATCCTCTGTGATACAATTATAGAGCAATCTGTCCAATAATCTAATAAAGGCATGGTAGGGGCCAGACAAGAAACAGAAGCCTCCTGTAGCTTCGGAGGAAGTGTTTGAAGTAATTAGGAAATCTAACCATATGCTGCACTTGTACACAACACTGGTAACTAGATCACAGAACATAATTGAGGCACAAAAGGGGATGGGGGAGGGACGTTTCTCTAAACATTGCTGCTAAAGCTGGTATGCTAGATGTTAGGCACGTATGGGCCTCTGAGGGAGTCTTTAGATAAAATGTCACTCTTCCCCCAGTGTGAAGCTGTGATTCATTGCTCCGGCAAAAACAAATGAGGGGTATAATGGATGAGGAATAGCTAGATTAATAAACTTCAGGAAAATGCCTCATATAAAACAGAGCAAGGAATTGTACTCTGAAGAGAATTAATAGTAAAGGTATGTAAAAACTTAAGTGTGCTTTGGACTGTTAAAAATAAGCAGCTTTCAGTAAAGGTATGTAAAACTAGTGTGCTTTGGACTGTTAAAAATAAGCAGTGCCAACCAACTTTGGAATTCACAGGCACTGGTGATATATATGACATTCTGAAATGAATTCTGCTTTACATGAATTTTACATGTCTACAATATCTCTAGATCTTCCTTCCTACTTTACAGATTACTGTGCAAGCAAATTTGCAGCTGTTGGCTTTGCCGAGTCTATAGCTATGGAAATGCTGTCAATGGGGAAGACTGGTGTTAAATCCACAATTGTCTGTCCATTTTTCATAAACACTGGAATGTTTGATGGCTGTCAAACAAAGTGAGTTAACTTCTCATATACTTCTGTGCATGAAGCACTAAATTGATTGTTGGTACAATGAAGCTGAGTTGCCATATAACAACACTGCTCGCCTACACCTTAAGTATTCATTCAAGAAGCAGATAGTACAGTGGCGATGGAGGAGAGTCCATGTATATTGATCTAAACATATGAATTAGTAGACACAAGCAAGTGTTCTAGACTCTTGTGTATGTTTACCATTTCCTCTTAGAGATATATTTGAGAAGTACAGTAGATAATAGGAGTGAATGCAACTTAATGCACTTTTTCTTTTTTCATCCTTGGGGGGAGACCATACATATGTACAGTAGAGCATGTTCTTTATATGCCAAAGGTTCCCAGTTTCCCTCCAATCCCTAGTCAATTCAGTGAAATGATCTATTAATAATGCAAAGGGAGACCTTGGCTGAAGATCCTGAAGAACTGTGAATTAGAGTAGAGCAACAGTTCTCACCTTTTATATCCCACTAATCAGTCTGTCCAGGAACTTGAGTCCCACCATGATGGAGATGCATAGGCATCCTTCAGTCTCGAGAGACTATGGTAACATGCTCTGAATCGAGGAGTGTCCTCTCCAGAGCATGAAGCCCGGGTAAGGGAATATGGAGGATAGGCTGTTACCCAAGCAGCAGATCCCCCCTCTCCACATTGCTGAAATGGTCCAATGGAAAGGCAAGAGCCAATACAACTGGTTCCAGCAATGTCGCAGGAGTTGGCAGAACAGCACATGCTGCCTTCGGGACTCCAGCTCCGGATTTTGCCTCGAGGTTAACTCCTGAAGCCTTTTCCATGAGTGGATATAGTCACAAGGCAGTGGAGGTTTGAAATTGGAGTTTTCCTTCTCCTAGATGGGCTGCCTTCCATGGCTGTCGAGCCCCACCTACCCGGCCATGATGGAGAGAGTGCCTGTTTTTGCCCCCAAAGAAAGTGTGTCTGTGTTTGGGTATGCATATATATTTTTATTCACAAGCATTCTTTTATTATCATTTATAGTTAAGTTACAAAGAAAGAATATTTAGAACAAATACTAAGTCATTATTAGGTCAGAAGGTCACAGATGGATAACTCATGTCAAAGAGTTGGCACCCTACACTTGCAGTAGAGCACGGGAAACAAATTCTCACTAATTGTTAGGAAACTCCCACACAGACTATTATTTTGTCCCACTGGTAGAGAACCACTGCAGTGGACAGTGATGGAAAAATGAACTGAGCTAGTATAAGGAGGCGCTCCTGTGTCACGTGCATTTGAGCATATAGAGATTGCATAGCAGAGCTTTTTCATATAATACTTGGATTTGTACCTAGCTTAATGTGAACTAAGTCATCCCTTACCCACTGTTTGAAACTTTTACTATCATTCAATGCTTTAAATAGTCCCACCACCAGAACTTGTAATGTTTCTTTAATTAGATAAGAGTATATGTTTAAAACACAAACAAGATAATTTATCATGTATTTAAAATTATGCTATAGTGGCATTAATACATAAACCTACTTAATTGGAAGGAGGAAAAACACCGGGCAAAGCTTGACCATTCAGAATCTCAATATCTTTTATCAGGTGGCCGCTCATCCTGCCCATTCTAGATGCAGAATATGCAGCTTCAAAAATTGTGACTGCTGTGCTGCAGAATCAAGTATACCTCTTTATGCCACGAAGCATATACGTTTTGCTGGCAGGGAAAAGGTAAGAATAACCTATTCTGATTTTATATCTATTTTGCATTCTGTCGTGCTCTAAATAGCAAGTGAAGGAACTCAAATGTTTTAGAGATTATTGAGCTGACTTTAAAAGCCTGTTTGATTACCCTCAAAAAACTCAAACAAATGCTTTAGAGCAGGATAGGCAATCTTACCAAGGCCACAGACCACATTCCATTTTGGCATAACAGACTAGGGGCTGCCACCATGCAAAAGGGGGCACCCCCCAACCACCAAAAATTAGCAGTATAATCCACCCCTGCAAAAACATTAGCACAGCCATTTTCTGATCTGTAGCTATTTTAAATCTGTTTCATCTTGTTTAAATTTATTTCTAGTTAGCTGTTGTTTATAGTGTTTATGTGAATTTTTTCTAACCTTAATTTTGCTTTTGTTTTGGCAGCTTTAGAAAGAGGGAAAGGTTCAAAAGTTTGTTTGAAAAGTTGTATGTGGTGTGTGGGCCAAATTATGCCCATCTATCTTTAAAATACTAATTAAGCAGTAAGCAATTAAAAGGAGTGCTCGAAGATTTTCTGTAATAAAGGAATATAGCAATTTGTTAGTTTCTACTGTCTAGAAGCTTGGAATATGCAGATGGGACAAATCACTGGCAACTTTTCAACATTTTTTCCAAGAGTTTTTCAAATGCCCATAGACCTTTATGACACTCAGATTAACCCAACAGTTGTATGGGAAAACTAATTTGGCACTCTTTGGTAATAGTTCATTTCAAATAATCTATCACGGGCCTGCTACAGGCCCCAAAGGAGATGGGGCCACACTACACATGGCAATCATGAGTGGATTTTCCAACATGTTTTCTCTTACTGCAAGGCAGCTATTGAAGAAACTCCAGATTACAACTGTTATCTTTTTTCTCTTTTGTATTTAGATTTCTCTCATATTCTGAACTTCTAAATTGTGGTATATTTAGCTTGTGTGTAAATCTGGCATTAGGAGGAGGATGCCTTACTTGTGCAAAACAGTGGTAGGGACTATTAACTCATGCTATCACTTCTGCCACTTTTCTTTTACTGACTGAAACCTTTTGCTCTCACCTCTATTCTTTTTATCCCTAGAAGGGAGAAATACCCCAACGTGCATCTTTTTCTAATCTATGTGAATAAAAGAAGCTGGGGGTGTGAGCAATGATTTAGACTGGAAAAACAGTATGGGCAGAATAGAGTTAACAGCCCAAGTTGCCATAGGCTGTTCTTATAGCTCACTACTGAAGACTGAAATCTCTAGATCTTGAACTTTTTGTATGAAAAAATTACAGTAATTTATTATCCAGAAAACTTTTACAGGAATGTGTTTGAAGGAAAAGATAACATGCAGACATTGGAGACATTAAAAAATTGATCTGCATTATCTTTCCTGCATTATCTTTTCATGTATCTTATCATGCTCTATTTGCCAGACTCTGATACGTTCAAAATTACTATACTGTATAAGAATTTCATAGCAGAAACTCACCTAATAGTGGTCTACCATACTGAGAAAAGCTACATGAGCTAAATTCATACTAGGAAATGTTTTATCTATTGGCAACCTGCCTCATTTCATTTGGCAAGGAGATAAAACAATGGGGAGGGGGACTTAACATTTCTGAATATATGGGGGGGGGAGTAATGGATTCCGATGTTGCATTTGGGCAAATGAGGAAAAAAGGCACATCTGACTGTGTCTGATAGATAATATAGTTTCATCCAAGGGTGTAGAGAAGACTGTCTTTCCATGGGAGTCTAATGTGTTCCTGTTGCTTTCTGTTTGTTTTAGAAAGACATAGAAAGAGGATCTGATTAAGTTTCATTTGTTTAGAGTGGCTTTTTATTAGTATGTACAGATAAATAAAATACTAATTGCATTAAGATCACGACATTGTTCCTTTTGATTTTCCAACTATTTTATCAGTCATTTAAATTTCTTTTATGAATATTTAGCCACCTTGAGTAAAACCTTTTTTAAAAGAAGAGTAACAGCAGAACAATAAATAGAATAATTCATCCAAAGGGAAGAGAGAAATCCTGAAGTTTAACTTGCAGTGGCTTGTGTTTTTTCTTTCCATTCCTAGTGTGGTGCCTACAAAATTGTTTTTTCTTCTTGCAAAATATATGGGAAATTTCCATTTTATGGATACATTCAGAGGTTGGACAAAGAAGACCGAAGGCATTAAATATCAGAAAGCATCAACAAAAACCCCAGGATCACTTGACTGACCTGAGTGAAAAGCAGGTCTATACACCTTCTGCAGCAATTCTTTCTGTTGTGAATATGTGTGCATAATTCAATATAGAGATGAATAAAATCTGATCTAAAACTAAATTGCACCATCACTAAAACATGAATTACTTTGATTTCACCTGCTTTTAAAATTCCTACACCTCTGCTTAATGTGGCTTGCAAACTAATAATTTACTGCAATAAAATTTATTTAACTTCTACGTGACATTTGAATTTTTAAAAAAGCTAACATTAGCTTCTATAAATAAAACAGTGGCAATAATGAATACTACTTTCCACTTCGGTGTTCATTATCCTCTCAAAAGCCTGAAGAAAGTTACAAGTCTCTTGGAGAATTAAGAATACCTTGCTGTACAGTCAGGAGCTGTGCGTTCAATTCCTCACCGTATCTCCCAGAAGAGCCAGCCTGTATAGGCTTGGGCAAGCTGTACAATTCTAGTGTGCCCCCAGAAGTAGGCCATGATAAATCACACATAAAAGGATAAGTATAAGTTAGAGTCAACTTAACAGGATATTGTCAATATTTTTTGAAGCAGCCTTATGAGGTACAATTCTAGTGGTGGCTGTCGCCAATATAGGGTAGGGAAGAGGGCAGTGTCACCAGAATTGAAGGCCACAAGATTATTAGAGGTGAAACAGTCTTCTAAACCCTCAACAGCCCACATAAGGAAACTGAAGCACATGAGCTTCGTAGGGGTGAGGAAAGGAATCCCCTAAATGTATACCAAAGCATACTCCAGCCAAACCTTCCAGATGCTCTGCTGTCACAGCAGAGATTGCCTCTTGTGTACAAGTTGCTCTTATTCTGCTGACAGGTTTCCCATATGCAACTCCCTGGTCCCTGTATGGACAGAATGTCAGGCTGGATAAGCCAGTGTCTGATGCAACATTTCTTATGTATTTAGAACAGGAACTGGATTACTCAGGAGCAAGGAGCATAACAACACCCAAAATTGACCCCTCTCCAAAAAATTTTCCAACACCATAAAAGCACTCCTTTCGAGACATATTTTCCTGTTCTACCAATAATCTGTGTTTTAGACTAGAAAAACTAAACTGTGGTTGGTAAGTGGAAAATGGGGGAGGGATGTTCCCCACATTGCAGGGGAAAATGCAGGCATGAAAAGTGGCGAGACCCACCACAGAGGTTTAAAGAAGGCACACTAGGGAGTCTTGAAAAAATAAACAAAAAAACCACTCATACCCTGCAGAATTTTTAAAAATAAGCAAAAATCGAAGGCCCACGAGTCTTGGAAAAGTAAATAAAAATCAAGCAGGCCCATTTGATAATGTGTTAAAACATTGCAAAATTTGCCCTGCCTCACCAAAAAATTTTCTCCAAAAGCAAAAATTACCTAGACCCACAATTTTTAAAAAATATTTGAAGTTAATAGAAAGAGTCTCAATTCCAGTAAGAGTTTGTTTTTAAAAATAGCCTTTAAAAATGAGTGATCCTGGCTACCCTGTTAGCAAGCACCCATTTCATTTCTGTAGACACTTCGCTTTGTTGATGCATTTTGGAAGTATTAGTGCTAACATCTTCAGTATTATTTTATGCATTTTATTTATATCCCACTGTTCTCCCTATACAGGAACCAGCTGAAAACACTGTTTGTTATAAGATTAAAATTCAATTAAATATACTCAACACTAATTTAAAACAATAGGAGGCACATCAGAAAAGTAAAAATGCAGCATTCTCTTAGCTGTCTTAGCCACCAGTTGCCGAAAGCCTGCCTGATGAAATGAAACCCCTCATGTTCCTAACCAAAACATACCCTTAAGAGTGGCAGAGCGGACATAAGGGTGTCTATCTTAGAACACAGCAAGGATTGCATGGGGAGATGCTGTACTTCAGACAGCTAAAACCTGAGTCTTATTGGGCTTTCTCACTTGTAACCAGCACTTTGAAATATATCCCAGAACAGCCCAGTACACAGTGATGCTGTTATAACAAAGACTTTCTGTTCTGCTGATAAAAAAGGAGCAGTCCTGCCACATCATCTTGAATCTACTTAAGTTTTTCAAGGAACCATACTACCTGAATAAGAGAAAAATACTTTTGTTTAACAACTGCCCCTACAAAGCAAGGCAAAGGCCATTATAACCCCACTTATGTGCTATTCCTACTTATTCCTTATATATATTTTCTCCTTGCCTGCATAACTGATGGCTTAAAAAGACATTCCCAACATTTTCACTTTTGAAGACATGAAGATGGAGGGATCCCTACCTTCAGGTGGAAAGAAGACTGGAGGGGAGAACTCAGGTGGTGGTGCTGGGTGGCTCATGCTCAATGCCTTGGCCATTGGCCTGTGGCATTCCTCGGGGTTCTGCTTTGTCACCCACGCTTTTTAACATCTACATGAAACCACTGGGAGAGGTTGTCTTAGTTTTAGTGTTTGGTGTCACTAGTATGCGGATGACACCCAACTTTATCTCTCCTTTCCATCTAATTCCAGGGAAGCTGTCTTGACTCTAAACCAGTGGTTGGCATCAGTAATGGACTGGATGAGGGCAAACAAACTGAAACTTAATCCAGAGAAGAAAGAGTTGCAAGGCAGATAAGGGAATAGGGATACTACCTGTGCTGGATGGGGTTACACTCCCCCTGAAAACTCAGGTCTGCAGCTTGGGTGTACTCCTGGATGCATTTGCAGAGCTAAAGCTGGTGCACCAGCTGCGCCTGTTCCTTGAGATGTCAGATTTGCCTACAGTGACACATGCTTTAGTTACATCCTGTTTGGATTACTGTAATGTGCTCTATGTGGGGATGCCTTTGAAAATGGTTTGGAAACTTCAGCTGAGACAAAACTCTGCAGCCAGACTACAGACTGGGGCCAGCTACAGGGAGCATATAACGCACCTGTTACAAGAATTACAGTGGCTACGTCCATTTCCAGGTCCAATTTAAAGTGCTGGTCATTACCTATAAAGCTTGGGTCCAGGCTACCTGAAGGACTGTATCTCCCTATACGTGCTTTCTCAGCAGTTAAGACCAGTAGGAGGCAGCCCTCCGCTTAGTCCCATTGCCACCACAAGCATAGCTGATGGGGACACAGGAGAGGGCCTTCTCTGTGACAGCTCCCATGCTGTGGAACGCTCTTCCTCAGGAGATCAGGATGGTCCCCTCCCTTTTAGCCTTTCAAAAATGAATCCCTGAACCAAGTTTAGCAGATAATTTTAATCTTTTCCATGTTTTAATCTTTTAATTTAATTTTAAATCATATATTGTCTTTTAATATTTAAATTACTGTGTTTTTAACTGTGTGAATTATAATGCCTTGAGTCCCTTTGTTGGGAGAAATATGGCATACAAATAAAAATAATACTGCCCCTCCTTAACCCGCACCTCTCTGTGCCCATACTCTGACCTGTAGTCTTTCTATACTGGCTGAAGCACGCAGTTATCTGGCATTTTTGTTAGCCGTGGACGAAAGCACTGTCAATACAGTTACAGTTCATCTAGCCATTTTTTAGAGGCCTAGAGGCATGAAGGCAGACGTGTCTGTCAGTGAGGAGCTCTTGGATGTGGTCGCTATTCATGGGACAACAAATGGGACATCTTCATTGCAGTGGAGGAGTCTCAAAGTAAAATTAAATTACCCTGGGAAAACTTGGTGGGGCTTACTATTGATGGCACACCTGCAATGTTGGACAAAAAACTGGCTTGGGTTGGACTGTTGAATGAGAAAATGCAAAAAAGTAACTGCCACACACCTCTAATAACTTACCACTGCGTTATCTACCAAGCAGCTGTGTGTGGCAAGATTCTCGAACTGGATAACACAGTCACAAAAACCGTGAACTTCCTTCATGCTCGGGGCCTTAATTATCAATTCCAAATGTTTTTGATAGAGGTGGGCACAGAACATACGGATGTGCCATACCATACAGAAGTAAGGTGGCTGAGTAGGAGCACCGTTCTCAAGTGATTATATGAGCTTTTGAAAGAAATTCTCTTTTCATGCAAAAGGGAAGCCCTTTCCTGAACTGTCAGTTCCAAACTGGCTGTGTGATTTTGGCATGTTGTGTGACATAACAACGCTTATTGCCCAACTGGGTCAGAGGCTGCTGGGAAGAAGCAAGTCATAACTGCAATATATATAATGCAATCACAACTTTTCAGAAAAAAATTGCACCTATGGAAGTCCCAGCTTGACCAAATGGATCTTGCCCACTTCCCTATCTGTCAGAGCATCTCAACCTCATTCCCAGATGCTTTTTCATATGCTTGTTTGGCTACCGAAGTGGATCAGCTGCTTAATGAATTTGATTGGCGATTCTATGACTTTAAATAACAGCACTTCACCTTTACCAACTTTGTCAATCCTTTCACTATTGATATTGACAGTGCAATACATCACTTTCAGATGGAATTAATATATAAATTAAATAAATAAATAAGTAAATAAAATAAACTTCAGCGCAACAGTAGCCAGAGAGCAAAATTCCAGGATGCTGCAGTTGAGGACTTTACTGCCACCTCTGCCTGCTTTGATGCCACAGCTCTGATGTCAAGCTGCTCATGTTCTGTCTATGTTGCGAACACCTACCTATGTGAACAGATGTTTTCAGTGATGAATCTGAACAAGACCAAGCACAGAACACGCATCACCGGTGACAACCTCCATGCTGTTTTATGGATTGCTACTGCACAAGACCTGAAGTCAGACATTGACGCACTGACCTCAGGAGAACTGTCAGTTATCCGGTCAGAAAACAAATAGGTAATTTTAAAAAAACATTTAGGTATATACAAAACATTTAGGTACAGTATATACAAAACATTTAGGTATATATCAAAATGTATTTCCAATAAGAACAAGTACAATGTAACAATGTTTGCATTCTAATTGTAACTATTTCATTTGTTTTGTGTTTGTTATATATAGAAATTGATCAAAGGATGAGGAAGGTGTTTGATATGGTGTCTCGAGTTGAGGTGGGATCTACTTGATGTGTACAAGACCAGGCAACATAAACTTATCAACTTTATATGCTGCAGATTACAGCCTAATAAAGAGGACAACCCCAAAAATGCTTGTACCTATACCTTGCACTTTGGAATAAAAAAGGGGCTAATACGCCAATTTGAAGCAGCAGATTGACTTTCGTGTTCACCTTTTTTTGTTCACCGCAATTATTTTGCTATAGTTCTCACCGTCTCAACTGAGACCAAACAGTAAAAAAAGTCAAT